TATGACTATGACCCATTTGGCAAGTTATATCGATTCTTGATGGGCTCAAATTTGCCTTTGTTTCATAAGGCAAAATGTGCCCTTTCAATTGGGTTGAACAGTTATAGGGGCCAGGTTCCTTGATTTGGTTTAATTGAATGGACAAATGCTTAATCTGTTATAGAACAAGTCATTAAGTAGAGGACAAACTCCTTAGGCTATGTTTGGAAATGATGTAAATAGAGTGTAAATCCCGGTTCAGGATAAATTTGCACTCAGGTTCATTTTTGCTTGTGTTTGGCAATATTATATTTATGCATTGACAAATGATAGAAACCACATTTTCCAATGCATATATACATTGATAATAAGATGTAAATGTACATCAAATAAAAAAGAAGTAAATTTGCATTCAAGTGGGCTTTTGATAAAAAAAAAGGTATATGTTTTACTGGAATTCGTCTTTGCATCCATTACAGTTAAAAGTCTGTTAGGTAAGAAGGTAAATTTGTCGATGCAAAATTAACCCAACTTTGAAATATATGTATATGTTTGGCATCGATGCTGCAGATACAGCACCGTTTTTTGAGAAAATGGTGTCTTTTTTTTTGTCTGGAAGCATTGCTGCCAGGTAGGGCGTTTCCTGGAACAAGAACACCTTCCGTTTGGTACCAGTGCTCCATATCTATTTTCAGCACTGGTACCCATTATAGGAAGTCCACGTCACTGCCATATCATATCTTTGTTGGTAGAAACGAACTCCAATATGAAAAAATGTAAAATATGGCGTTGCTCCAAACTACGCCTTCTTGATTTCCAAGGCATGGCTTGGAGCACCATTTTTTATAGAATAACGATTCCAAACATATTAACATTTCCTGAAGCACCATTTTTTTCAACGTAATACTAATGTATCACCGTTTTCTGGAGCAATAGCATCGATACCAAACAAAAGCTATATGAATCGTTTTACACTACATATTTTCATTCACACTTCTTTATATCGTTTCTAAACGCAACCTTAATGGCTGAATGAATTAGAGAGCTGGCCCCCTACTGAATGACAATGACTTGTTTTATAAAAGATAGAGCGACAATCCCCTCAGTTTACCTAAGTTAATTAAGCGGTTATCAATTGTAATGAGCTCCTCAATGCCTGTCACAAATCTTATGTTGGAGCGTTAGAATATTGTACAGACACTATAACGCTACTCGGTTGTAGTGTTGACTTCATAGTGCTCACCACCACATACATGGGTTTGTTCCATTAAGATGGTATTTGGTTAGTTCATGTTGTTTTCACATGGTTTAAACTTTAAAGGTGATCTCTCTCTAGTTATTGAAAAAGGCACTAGAATTTATGCCCTTTGACATCTCACATGAAGCCAAAGTTCCTACAAAATAGCAATTGACCTCCATGTAACGTGTCAAATGCTAGAAATTCTAACAAAGTACTACTCCCTGATAGGTATAACAATATATAGCTATAGGGAGTCACTTATGCTGCCACTCTCCATTGCTTTGGTTTTGTTTTCTCCAAAAACAGTTAGCCACATATTTACCTCTTGGTTATTTCCACACACACAAAATCATCCATAATATCCTATGCATAAGTATCATTATGAATTTTTAAGCTACAAATTAGTAAGCAAGAAACAAAATTTCACAATATATCGATTCGTATTGGCTGATACATTGTTTTTAGGGTTTTTTAAGTGTTGTTTTTAAAAGTTAATAAACATCCTTTAAATTTTGAAAAAGAAAACTAAAAATATAAAGCAAAAGGTTCAAAGTACCGATACTCCTTTCCGCTATCAAAAAGTTATTTTTCCATTCTTGGTCCCGATTCTGAAATTAACCTTCACCCCCATCTCCAATCCTCGTCGAGGATAAAATTTGTCTTCCATCCCCGATCCCTGATAGGGATGGGTTCTCCGCAGGGACCCGAATCCTCAGAATTTTTTTAGATAACATTATTTTTTTGAAAAATAAATTTACTTAAAATAAATAAAAAAACTTAATTATAAATAATATTTTAATATATAAAAAATAATATAATAATATATTTAGTATAAATAACATTTGATATATATATATATATATATATATATATATTCATAGTTAGAGCGAGACGGAGACCTCAATCCTCGTTCTTGATCTCATCGGATTGGAGAAATCGGGTCCCATCGAGGATGGAAAAAATTGCTGTCCCTAATAACTTACTATTAAAAGGACCGATGTTGGTCTGTCTGTCTATCTAGTGTCTTGGGCTTGGAGGGATGGACTTAAACCTATATTATCACCATTATCAGCCTCGAATCATCAAACAATCATCCGTATGAAATGACAACATAAGCTTAAGACACAAGCAGACAAGGATTGGAAGCCCTAACTTTTAGCTCTACATATTCTCCAAATGACCAAGAATGGGCTACACCTAGAGGCAATTATTTTCAGCCCAGCCCATATAAATATTTTGAATCTATTAACGAGTTACGACATTTAAAGAAGGATAATTATAATGTTTTTAAAATCTAAGGCTCAGTTTGGGAAGAGTACATACACTGAAAATATAAGATTTTCAATACACTTTAGAAGTTTTTTCACTGTATTTGTATTTGTACAAATTTAAGGTTCATTTTCTTTTTTTGCCATGTTGATTATTCAAATATTTGAATTTGAGTCGAGGCATTTAAAAAAATATATATATAATAAAAAACAAAATCTAATTGTCTTTTCATATTTTCATTTTTTATAATATAATATATTAGAAATCATAGGCCTAAAAGGCTAAAACAAGCCCGTGCCTGAGCCTAGAGTAGAATTCTTAGTAAGGGTGATAGGCCCAGCCCATCCCATCCCATTATCAACCCTAGTTACTTACACCAGGCAAATGAACCTCAAAATGCCTGAACAATGATATAGATGGTATTTGGTATCGATGTAGCTTTTGGAAGAAATAGTGACAGTTSAGCATTGGAGATGCTTTTAACAAAAAAATGCCTTAAAAGTTATTTGATTAAGCTGTTTATCTGATAAATGGCTTTCTCGAAAATCGTGTAAATCGAATATTAAAAAAACATCAATTTTGACGTTTTTCATTTTTAAGACCGATTTTCATTGTTTGACTTATATGGTGTCTAATGGCACTGAGATGTACAAAAATCATACAAAACATTTAAAACAGATTTTRTTTCATTTTTAAAGACAAAATCATACAAAACGATTATCTTATAAACGCCATGATACCAAACAACCTCCTAGTTGATGCCTAGTTTGACAAAATATGTTGATTCCAAAGTAGGGAGATAGAGAGAGGAGCATCTGATTAGTTATTACATGGGCGAGTAAGCCTCAAAAAGTAAATTGGGTCCCACAACAAAAAGGACTGCCAGTTCTGAAGGGTACTCTCCATATGCCCAATTTAATCATAGAAATTTTGGATGGAAGGCTAGAATTAGATACAAAGTCACTATAGAAGATTCCCTTGGAAGACAAGAAATATATTCATAAGTTTGAAAGAGAATTTAGGAATTGTTGCGAGGATTTGTCTTATATAAATTTTTGTGTATCATGGGACTCGTAGGGGCGATATGAATCATAGAAATTGTCTTAGTTTTCCACCCCTTTTTATCGATGCAAATTTCATATAAGTTGTTTTTAAGCAAATTTTGTATTTGCATGGAATGCAAAAATTTGATGGAAATTCAATTTTGCTCTTTCAAAAGATGATAAATTAAGGGGTCGTTTGGCAAGGTTTTTTGAGAAGATCTTTTAATAGTTGTAACAGTTAAAGATGCATTGAGATTTTGCATGAAGACCTGAGTAGTCCTAAACTAGCTTGGCTACTGCATGTCTTTCCATACAAGAATAAAGTGGGAAAGATGCAAAAAACTCCATTTAGAACTTCCCGAAATTAGTCCAAAATGGGTTTTTTACGTCTTTTTAAAATATTGACTTTTGGCCACTAGATCTATTACGAAGCAAAAGGAAAAAGACCGCATAGAAAGACACGCCAAATAAGATCTAAATATTCAAACAAACAGCTGCAAATTTAAATCAAATACAAATTTTGCACCTGGTCAAGATTTGTACTCTAACCAAACGCACCCTAACCATTGGAAATGTCAATTTGTCCTACACCCTTTTATATATTTAGCTTTATCACTGTGGCCCTAAAATCAATAGGTATCCACGAAGGATCAAAATTTTGCATGTATCGACTCGTATCAATTGATACATATCGCATAAATATGGGTTTTTTTTTTGGAGGGTTTTGGCCCATTTCAGAAGGTAGATAAGTCTTATACCGACCTCTCTGACCAAGTTTTTGAGAAAAAATAAAACTAATGTGTATAATTAAAACACCTTATACACCCATTAAAATTTTGAACTTTGATATCAACCGATATACACCGATACATTGCAATAGCTTAAACCTTACTTTACAAATTGCTTGTTCACCACAAATGAAAAAAAAAAATAAATTCAGTACATTTACTCATCCAATAAAAATTAACCCAGTTTATATTGACATCTCTTTATAATGAAATTTGGTTACTTATGTTTCAGCCCATACAATCTTTTGTAGCACCAATCAAACTAGTCTAATTTCTAATGGTGCGACCAATTTTCTTTAATTACCCATCATCATCCATCACCCGCCTACCAAAAAATACTATCCATCACCCATTCGAATTTAGGCTCCCCGTAAATAAACAAGAAAAAAAAAGAGGAGATCGGATCTGCTACTCACACATGGCATCTCACACCGATCTCACAGGTACATCCCACCATATATTGAGAACATCTCCCGTAATTATGTATTATTATTTATGAAAGATATTAGAAGTAGGATGTGCCTGTGAGGTCATTGTGAGGCGCCCTCTGTGAGGAGAGGGTGTGGAGGCAAAGAGTCTAATTTTAATTTTTGGTCGCCAAACGTGCGTTCCCACTATTTCTTTCTCACCCCTCGCGCCTCTCAAGCCATATGTTTGATTTGATCTTGGGAGAGAGCAAACCAAGGAGAATAAAGGAGCCATCTCTGTCTCTGTCTCTCTCCCTCTCCCTCTCTGTTTCTTGACGAGATTGTCTGAGACTGAAAGTCACCGAGGGAGAAACCTTATTTCATAATTCTCTTTGTCGTCCATTTAGTCCATTGTTGCTCTTTGTTCTTCCAAGGTTTCCGTTTGTCTTCTCCCACTTCAGGTATAGGTATATAGGCATAGTCTCATTTCTCTATGCTTCTTGATTTCTTTTACCGTTGCAGTGTTCGTTTTTTTTTTTTCATTTTTTTTATTATAATGCATTGCCACACACTAACTAGTAACTACATTCATATGCGATTTTGTATTCTTTTGAAATTCCATCCACCAATTTTTTTCTTCGTCTTCAGATTTCATCGTTTTCTTAATTGCGGCATTGATTTTTATCAAATTTTTCATGCTGCTCAAATAAAATTTTGTCATTTTCTCCTTGTATGATTGATCGTTTTCTCTGGTTATTTTATTTGTTAATTTTAAACCTCTACATAGTTCGATTCTTTTTCTGACCTCGAACCCCCCACACGCACACCATTTTCTTTAATTTATTCTTTTTTTTTTATTTTATTTCTATTGTCCCTTTTCACCCTCTTCATGTTTCTTTCTGCATAATTTTCCATAGTGACGGCTTCTCTAGCCATCCATCTTGTTCTTTCTCCAATGGACATGTGATTTTAGTTTTCTGGATTAATATGTTGCTAATTTTAGTTGTAGAAATATGTTGTCGTTCCGTTTCTTGTGATAATTTATATTTCATTGATCGGTTTTGAACTTTCTTTTTTGATTCCGGTTTCAAGGATTGTGCTTTATAAATACTCTCATATCACAAGACATGAATTAATCTTGATTTTGTTTCCAGATACTGTTGTTGTTCTATATTCGGCTCCATCTTTTTTCCAGTTCCGAAATTTTATTCTTCATCAATTCCCCAGCGGCCCTCTGCAATCTCTCCTCACTTGAAAATGTTTGCGTTTATGAAAGCACCCGCTAATAAGGTCACTAAGCAGAACTCGGTTGACACAGGATCCAACCCTTTCGATTCTGACTCTGACTGTGACACCAAACAAAGCCTTAAACCTTCAAGAAGAACCTCTTCTGAATCTTCTCTTAATGTCAATGATGGGGATGGAAAAGGATCCTCTTCCTCTTCATATACAGTTACTGCGGCACAAAGAAGCAAATATAAGAATGATTTCCGTGACTCGGGAGGATTAGAGAACCAGAGTGTGCAAGAGCTAGAGAATTATGCTGCATACAAGGCTGAGGAGACTACTAGTGCGGTCAACAATTGCCTGAGAATTGCTGAAGATATCAGAGACGATGCTTCTAGAACTCTGGTCACCTTGCATCAGCAGGGCGAGCAAATTGCAAGGATCCACAACACTGCCGTTGATATTGATCAGGATCTAAGTCGGGCATGTACCCCATACCCTTTACTTGAGTCGTGTTTTATCTTTTTAAATGACAAACAATGGCTTCCTGAACTAATATACTCTGGTTGTGATTATTACATGAGATTTTGTTTACTTATAAGCTGTGTTTGGTTTGAAGGAAAAAGTAGGGAAAGGAAGGGAAAGGCAGGGAAACCTTTACAAACCTTGTATAGGTTTCCTTACATTTCCCTTCCTTTCCCTACTTTTTCCTTCAAACCAAACATGGCCATAATGTTTTTTTATCCAAGGAAAAAAGGAACTATGATTTGAGAAGCAACGCAGTCTTGAAAACCATGCACCTTGATGGAGTATCAGTGGTTTTTCTTTCATTTAGAATGTGAATTTGGAGACTTGTTTAAACCTTAGTGTTATTCTCTTTCTTTTGTCATCTCTGTATCAGGTTAGTTTTAGGAAATTTGACCCTCGTATTTAAGATTCCTATTGCAAAAGCTTTAATAAAATTAGATTTGATGTGTAATGGTTTTGTTGAATTTCGTGTTTTCCTAATACTTTATCATTCATTTTTTTTTATTTGAGTTCTCAATGCCATTTTTTCAATCCAAAACTAAATATGGAAACATTTGGTTTTTAGACTATACCTGTCACAACTTGTTAATATATCTGATATATTAGAAAACTCTCTATTTAGAAAGTAAATGCTTTTTTTGTTTGGAGGGGCTGAGAAATAATCATGCTAATATCTTTTTTTCAATATATATTTTAGACTTTTGAGACAAAACTGATATTTTATTATTAAGGGCATTTTGATAATATAGTTGGTTTTTCCTGTTTTAATTCCATCTTCTGTTAACAAAGTCCCTGTAGTTTCATGGTTAAAGGGCGCCGCGGGGGGGCGAGGGGTGTATATCCATATAAGTTAACAGGTAAGCCTGAAGGGAGGTCCTCCTACAATAAATGTATAGCCAGGTACGACAGAGAAACTATCATGTAGTTAGTGGCCCATACACATATGGGGAAATTTAGAGCCACTGTTTAGTGGGTTGGACCCAAAAAAATCTTCCAAGATCCCCTAGGTTAAGAATCAATTGTATCATATAGTTGTTATATAAAGAAAAAAAAAAAACACAACCATCAGAACTTTTCTGATTGTTCTGTGGACAGCCACCAGGAGAGAGATGCAATGCAGAGTACTGTGCTATCAAGGATATCCAAGTCTGTAAATGAAAAAATCTGGTTTAATATCTTGTTTTACCATCTAACTTTTGCTTGGTGAAGTAGTTGACAACAAATACAAACAATAATGAGGTCAAAATTTTGATTTTGTGAGTGAGATCTTGCTCCTTTGATGCTTAGGCCTGACCCTTCTCACAAATGTGGGTTGCCTGGGAGCATTCAGTTACAGTAATGAATAGATTTTTCTTGTTGATTTCAGGGTGAGAAACTTTTGGGAAGCCTTGGAGGCATGTTCTCTATAACATGGAAGCCAAAGAAGACTCGTGAAATTACAGGACCAGTAGTCACAAAAGGTAAATATCATCTAAGCTTATTGTTGGTCCTTGTTTAGCCATTAGTCATCATCATCAGCGTCAAAGTCTTGTCTGAAAATATGGGGTTGGTTACCAAAAAAAAATATATATGGGGAATGGGGTTGGCTACAGGAATTCTGTTTTGCCATTCTGTTCTGTTCAATGCCATATCCATTAAATATATTTGTTTAGTCAATGGGTTTTCATTTATTTATATATTTGTCCACCGGATTGGTTTGCACATTGCAGATAATCCATCCAAAAAGAAGGCCAGCCACTTGGAGCAAAAGGAGAAGTTAGGGATAAAACCATCAAAGGGAAAGTCAAACTCTGAACCAGCTCCTGAACCCACCACTGCACTAGAGAAAGTTGAGGTTCGTATTTTGTGAGGAGTGAATATTAAATAAAATTTGTAAAATTATTTACTGATGTATCTGTGGTTTGCTGAAAACAGGTAGAGAAGGCAAAACAAGATGATGCGCTCTCGGATTTAAGTAATATTTTGGGTGATCTGAAGGGGATGGCCATTGACATGGGAACTGAGCTCGATAGGTTAGTCCTATTGCTTTTCTTGTTATACCCTCAGTTTTCCGATGCTGTATTTAGGTTGTGGGCCTTATATGCACAAGGGTATTTATAAAGAAGAAACAATAAAATACCATTAAACAATCCTTTGCAGCAAATAATAATAGTAGTAGTAGGACCATGTAGCCCATTCAGGAGCATCAGGGATCTGTATAATTATCAGATCAATTGATGTGTTTACTCATGATTGGATTACGCAGCCCATTGTGCACATCTTGTTTGTAGTAGATCCAGATTAGATTTCTTGTTCTTTTCATTTTGAACCAAGACATTCTCATTCTTTATATTTATGTTTCACTGATCAATGCAGGCAAAATAAAGCTCTAGACCATCTTAATGATGATATAGACGAACTGAATTCCCGGATGAAAAATGCCAACCAGCGTGGGCGTCGTTTGCTTGGAAAGTAGAAGATTGTTTTGTTTTTTTCTTTCCAGGCCTGCTGTCTAACAAGCACATTTACTGAACTTTGTGAACGTCTGCCCCCCATCGGCTTCAATGGTTCCTTCTCTAATGTATTAATGACTGTGGACTTACTGAATCCTAATACCATTTTCCCCCCTCTTCTTGTTTTGTTCTTCTATCTAAAAAGCCTTCTTTGTAAATTGTACAGAGGCTGAAAATATTACATAAATTTACCTTTATTTTGTATTTGGTTACTTGACTTCTTCCTTTGTACACTTTGTATTCAATATTTTGGAGCCAATGAGTAATGTAATGAACACGATAAGTTTCAATTCAAACGGTTTACTCCTCGTTGTTTTTCGAATTTCACCTCCCCGTCATAAAAAAATGAGGCCCATTTGCCTACTGAAAAATCGAATTTCGAGAGAGGGTTCATTACGAATAAAATGATCACATTTATTGAATTTGGGCTGTCAATGGATCAATCAGAACGACCTGGACCTGGACCTGGACCTAGTAATGCACTTGTCACGTCAGGTTATTCACTCCTGCTAAGTGCTATCTTACACGCCTCCCTCCTCTCCGATGGCCAGTAGCAGAATGGATATCAGCCTAAAAACAACAGCTCCAGTTGCTGTACCTGTTGTTCTACTTATAGTTGCATCTCATCCCATCCATCATCTGCCCCTCCTCTTCAACCTTACCACCCACGGACCCTCTCAGTTCCTCCGATCTTCACATCAACTACGACAACACCAGCGGCAACAGCAAAACCAACAAAGACCTGCCCTGAACTTGGCCGTTAGACAAAGACCCCCTCGGCCATAGAAGACATTAAATTATTACAATACCCTACTAAATTTTCTCTATTTTCTTTTTCTTGCCATCACTTACTTTCCATTTCTTCAAATCTAACAAGTCAAAACAACACTAACAAGACATCTACGGAATTCCAACCCCTCCAAATCTTTATCGACTCGGACCATTTTCAATCCCCCAAGCATTACCCAGAAAAAAAAAACAGAAAAGAGCAAATCTATAGTGTCTTCAACTTTCTTGAATAGAAGAGGCAAGGATTTGGGACTGTTCATTTTTTGTCAATGTTTGAATAATTAATAAATTGATGACACTCGAAAGGTATTTGTGTATTTTTCAAATGTCACGTAATGGCTGTTTAATGATAGGTGCTAAATTGGCACATTTTGAATGTTCAGGTACTGAATTGTTGCATTTTAAAATTCAAGAACCAAAGTAGCACTAGGCCAAAGTGCAGGGTACTAATTGAGAATTTTACCTTTAATTTAAGTTATTTGTGGGGCGGCAATCCAATGGTTAGGGATGGGAAACGGTCTATCAGCAGTGAACTGATTCACTTCTTATTGTTCCTAGACAGGCTTTCCAAAGTAGCACTAGGCCAAAGTGCAGGGTACTAATTGAGAATTTTACCTTTAATTTAAGTTATTTGTGGGGTGGCAATCCAATGGTTAGGGATGGGAAACGGTCTATCAGCAGTGAACTGATTCACTTCTTATTGTTCCTAGACAGGCTTTCCATGAAAAGGCAGGAATTTCCTTCACAGCAATTTAGTTCGTCTGCTCTTCAAATAACAGCTCAAAATTCCATTTCCAAGCAGAGGAATCACCAAAAGTGGCATTAGTTAAAATTTGACGGGTGAGTAGAGAAATTTAATGGATAACTTCGGTGACCAAGTTAAAGAGGTCCAGCGCAATTTTGGGAGAGACCAAATCAGCCCCCCACAACATCCCACAACACATCACCGCCGTGTATTGGAAACATCTCCTGATGATAATCCCAAAAATAATAATGTCATCATCAGGAGATGCTCTCAATACACGACCAAAATGTGCTGTGGGATGTTGTGAGGGGCAATCTTGTGGGGGGCTGATTTGAACTCATTTTGGGAATGATGAGGGAGCACAAGTTGAACTTGAAGTGTTCCATCAAATTAGTGACGATGGAGAGAACCAGGAGTACAAATACAAATATGTACAGTGCAAACTGAGCCTGAAGATTTTAAAATTTTGAGAAAATTCCTGATTAGTATCCTATACTTTGGGCCTAGTGTCACTTTGGCCCCTAAACTTTAAAATGTGACAATTCAGTACCCGAACTTTCAAAACATGACAGTCCAGTACCTGCCGTTAACTAGCTGTTAATCAGTCGTTAAGTGACATTTAAAAAAGACACAAATTCCCTTCAAGTGTCATCTAATATTTTTTGTCAACCATCTAGACATTGACAAAAAATTAACAATCTCAAATCCTTGCCTCTTCTATTTAAGAAAGTTGGGATCACCAGAATGCCCATTCCCATGCACTTGTACTAATACAAATAAATTCGCACTGCAACCAAGCACAGCCTTAACAAAGAGAAATGGAGAAGTGCCTGATCCAGATGAATGTGTCTTGTTAGGGATGAATATCAACCCAGACCCTTTGAAAACAACCGGGAGGCTGTGTGGACCCAAATTGGCATTCTTCAACATGACATTGAAGCTTCTGAGATGTCTCTATGCTTAAGCCCTCCCTGTTGCAATAGAAAACAATTGTATAAATGTACAGTCAGGGACCTGACCAGCTTAGAGTCAGGTTCAAAGAAGGTTGAACCTTTTCTTCACATATTCATGAACAATCAAAATATCATGGTAAATTAAAAGAAAGGCATCAATGCTGATTTGCAACAAACAAATACCCGAGGTGGAGCCCATAAAAAAGGGTGGGTCCCCAATGTCACTTATCATTAAGTAATCAACACATGTAATTGTCACATACAACACCTTTATGGCACATCAAGTTCACAATAATTTGGATGGACTACAATGCAAGTTAAAATTTACAATCTCATATTAGCTGTTGATCAGTTACAGTAACTCCCCCATGCATCTTGAGGAAGCGCACCCTTGTTGCAAGCATGTCATATAAGATACCTTGAAAACAGGCTCCAGATTTCTTGTTTTACGAATGAAGAGAAGAAACAAATGCCCAGTGCCCACTTCCATAAAGAAGAAAAGAAGTCGGGTACGTATGAAAGCATACCTCAATCATCTGATTTTATATAAGTTAATATGGCAAGTACTATGGCACTTTTCCGGTTTCTAGCCACCCACCGCAACCAGGAACTTCCTCTTGCTGGTTGGTTCTTCATGCAAAACCACAATATCTTTTACCTTGTCAATCAGCTCCTCCAGCTTGTCCACACCCAAGCTCATGTAATCCAATGATTTCTTGTACCTTTGGCGATATATTTCTTCAAAACAACCTAGGAAGATACGACATGAGTAGCTCACAAGAAGCTCCTGTAGTTCCTGCTTAAATTGTTCAAGATGTTTGTCAATTTCTGGGTCCACCCAGGGGACAGTCTTTCCACTCCTCTCCTCGTGTTCCAACTTTTCATCATCTGAAAGCTCATCTGAAGAGCACCCTACAACAGCATTCACACTAATATCTGGATTATTCTCCTCCTGAGGTCCCTTCCTCTTCTTATCCTTCCTTTCTAGACATGATGATGAATTGGGGCCCAATTTTCCTGCTCGATCAATGGGGTTGTTGAGGTAGACATACTTCCTGTGGCCCTTGCCCTCCACAGTCATTGTATCTGCCATCTTCTTGAGAAGATTCACAAGCTTAAAAGCTCCATACTCTGCCACATACAATGGCCGTCCAAAAATCTTATGGTATTCTGCAGGAACACGGACAAGTGGTAGGCTCCCACCTGACAGTTCAAGCAGCTTTACCAACTGGCCCTTTAGGCCATTCAGATCTCCAGGTTGGACCCAAAATGTTGGTTCATGTGTTTCATTCTGGTCACCACCAATGGGTCCTGCAGAAACACTGTTCAAACCACAAGGGAAACTCCGGGACCTTGATGTGGGGAAGGAGGGCATGCCAATTAAATTACTGTTATATTCAGATAAAGAATGTGAGGTCCTTGAAAAGTCCCCAGAATTAAAACGGTAGAACTGGTTAGCGTTGGACCACACAGTTGATCCACTTTGTGAGATCCCTTTGTACACAATAGCTTCTTCATCAATTTGGCCATCTGCATTGTCACCAAAATGGCAGCCCATAAGATATCCAGAAATGTCAGCCTGTACACGAGACATTAGACCCTTGGGGGGCACGAATCCTTCTCCACGGGCCACACTAGGCCAGTCCCAGACAAACCTTCCAGCATTACTAAGGGCAGATGAGACACCCACTCCAGCAGGAATAACAAGGATAATGGTATATCCACGTTGGCCCAGGATGTGCAATGCAGGAGCAAAATCTACATCTCCTGAGATAAGCATGATTGAAGATGGTGGAGGGTTGTCAAGGGCAAAGAGAAACATGTCAATCAGGATAGCCTTGTCAGCAGCATCTTTTCTTCCATTTGGAACATCTATGAGTTTCACTCCAGTTCTCTGACAGCCCTCTCTAAGCCGCCTGGGGAATGCATTGAAATCTCCATAAGCAGAGAACATTGTAACAGCTCCTTCAAGAACAGGGTGGACACGCAACGCCATTCGTATGTTTCCAGCTACATCTTCAGGACGGACATCACTTGGGACAGGGCAGTTCTCAATGTCCCAGAGGATGGCAATTGAACCCTGTGAAGAGGTCCTGCTTCGGTGGAGGCTTACATTTAAAGTCTGAACTCCGTTGACGTCCAAAGATTCAGAAGACAACACCATTGCAGATGTGTTTGAAGTAGATATCATGGTAGGGTCATAAAAGAATCAAGTTTCCTATACATGATAGAGATATAATATGAGTAATATATAACAAAACAATCACAAAAATAATACAGGAAACAGAACAGAAAGTTCACCAAAATAATACAAACACAGTAAAGAGAATTTCACAATGTAATATACTCTGTGCAGTATTATCAGGTGCCATTTACATAAATGTATGAGAATGAAAAACTAATCCACCCTCTCCCTGGAAAAGTTTTATAATACAGCAATTCGTCAAACAAATTATTCAATATAGGCTTCACAAACTTTGATCAGTGTCAATCATTGACTTCCCTCACCCGCTCCATATTTGCTCCACATTCCCCTCCATCCTCCAATTGTTCTTGCACAAACAAATGAACACAGCACACAATAATAAAAGAAAATAAAATTCAGTAGACTTTGTATAAATCAATCAAACTTATTTGAACCATAAGTCGTCCCAACTATATGGGGTCGGCTATTTAGTTTCTATTTACATGAAGACCCTAAAAAAATCAGGCTTCAATGCTGGCAGTGAAGGTTCTGCTTCTTGATATCTACATAAAATAGGAACAGAAGAAATATACACAGAATATATCTGACATCTTTCTCCTGACAGCAGAACAGGTCAAAGATTCTTTAATTTACTTGATAGGTCAAAAATCAAAACTCTGTTCAGTTCCAAAATGGTTACGATCACTTTTCATCTAGTTTTTGGTGTTGACAAATAAATCCTTTCCCATGTTTATAGGTTGGCACTGCAAGTCCCATTCCTCAATTTCATTCTATTTAAAGCTATGATCTGTAGACATGGATACAAGTGGCATGTTTTAGTCTAGCAATGTAGTGTCAGACACGGAAAACCTGCTAAATTGGAATTGGACACGACATACATGTATTAAGTAGGCGCATATACATGTATGTGTTTCAGGATCCGTTAATATAGAAAAAAAAATTACCTGATAATGTCTTCACATTCTTCCTTTTTGTGGGGTAAATATTGTATGATTAAGTTGTATTTTTTGTGACTATAGGCTATAAGTCTGCACCTCAAAGGTTCTATTTTGCTGAACTATAAGACACCCCAAATTGCATAGAATCATCCTTTAACTGAATAAAATTAAACAGAAGAGTGCCAATTACATGCAATCAACAAAGCTAATCCCCCCAAATGATAAAAGAAAAATGAACCAAAACAAGAATGTCAAGGAGAAGGTAGGATAAAAAAGGTCAAGCTATTCACAACAAGTAAAATGTAAAGTAGCTTAACCTCAAACAATAACTCATCAACACATAACGCAAATTCATACAGATATGAACACATCCATTGAGACGAAATTCTTGGAAAGAACAAAACTTAGTGCAATAAACAATCATCACCAGACCCTAAAAACCTTATTTATTTTCTTCTCTTTTTGACGAGAGAGGGAAAAAAACCTTAAGCGATCGAAGATATTATGATGGGCAATCTCCCAACTCTCGTTGAACCCCAAAATAAGGAAGAACAATATATAGCTTGCAAGAACAAAACTGAGCGAACCCAAGACATAAGAAATGAAAAAGGAAAGAAACAATTATAGAAGGATTCAGCTCCTTAAAATCCATATAAACCGATAAATTATTCGAAATACCTCGGGAACAGAACAAGCCAATAAAATTTAATGAAAAAAACATAAAGTTAGACCATCAAGGCAACAGAAACCAGATGAATTGCACCTCGAGGGTGAGAAGAATCGAGGAAGATCTTACAGAAACTACGAGAATTGTGACTTACCAACAACTAAAGCTGATCGAGCTCCAAATCTTAGCGATCGAAGCTAATGTTGGTGGATTTTCTTTTCTTTTTTCTTCTTTTTTTTTGGGGTTTTCGTTTTTTGGCGAAACAAGACTGTTGTTAACCGTGTGGATCTAGCGGACACCGACCTTAAGATTGACAGAGTATGAAAACGAAATCAAATCTCCTCCGACTCCTCGCCCGCTCCTCTTTTTCAGTTTTTCATCTGTCTAACAGTAAGGGCAGTTTGGTCATTTTGGTAAATGGTTAAAAGGGAAGCAGAGCAGGAGAGAGAGAGAGAGAGAGAGACTCGGAATGGAATGCCGCCAGGTTTTGTTCAGAACTTCTCTCCAGAGGCCAGAGCCCCAGACATCTCATTTGGATTTGGATTTGGATTTGGATATGTTCGTGCGATACGCGTAGCCGGTACACCATACAAGTATCTGGGTTCGGGTCGAATTTCTTAATCCGAATGCTGAGTAGAAATTTGGGTTTGGGTTCGTTGACCCTAACCCGTTTCAAAAATCCAAATCACATCTGCACCATGTCTTCCTTGAGTCCGATCTGCTCCTCACGTAGTCACAGAGCGTGCACCTCACAGCATGTCCTGGCCATACATTGAAAACATCTACTGTACTTGTATTTATTATTCATGAAAGATATTTCCAACATAAAAAGGATGTGGCTATGAGGTCGGTGTTAGAAGCTCTATCTGAGAAACAGATCCCAATTGGTCTCTTTCTGTTTGGTGGATGATGAGTCTTTTTGGATTTTTCTTCTCATCCTACTCAATGGTAATTTTGGGAGGTTAAAGAACCTAAGGCTACGAAGGGATCGGGCCAAATCGGATAGAGGGTAATCCAAGTTTGATTTGTTTATATTGAGATTCAAATCAAATTTAATTTGTCACATTTATATCTAATTAAATTCAGATTTGGATTCCGGTTGCGTTTGGATATTGAATAGCATTGATTAATTAGAGTAAAAATGATCAAAATATTTATATATGATATAATTAATAGGGAAAATTCCTGATAGATACTCTGTACTTTAGGTCGAGTGCTAATTTAGTACTCGTACTTTAAATCATAACAATCTAGTATCCAAACTTTCAATTTGGGACAATTTGGTACCCAAACTTTCAATTTGTGACAATTTGGTACCCGATGCTAGATTTTCGTCAGTTAGAAATTCACGTGCAAATTAAAAWTTTCAAAAATACCAAAAATACCCTTTACAAAAAACCCTTCTTATTCCCTTTCCCTAATCCCCGATTGTCTTCGGTCTGGGTTGAACAAACGATGTCTTCAGTTTGGGTTGAACGAACGAAAGAGGAGAAGAGAGTCGACCTTCCTCTTCATTCCTAGCATTTCCATTCCACCCTTCTCTTCAAAATCGGTTGGAGAAACAATAGAGAGGCCGGCGAAGAAAGGTTAGAGAAACGACAGTAAGGCCGACGAAGAGAAGAAAGGTTGGAGAAACGACAAAGGGGGCCCCTCCCTAGTCCCAGCAATCCGACAGCCCCATGGAAGAGGCCTTTGTTCCGGTGTCCACATCCGAACATGACATTCTCAACTTTCTGGAATTTTGATTTTCCGATTGGTGATGTCAAGTTCACTATGAAGGTCACCAGGGCAAAATCTCCGGTCGTGTTCGACCGATCACCGTACCAATAGAAGTAGGGGCAGGATTGGTTATCGGCCTTGCAAGGTTGTGGGGGATCAGGGGAGGAGACCAGCTGACAACGAGGATCATGGCAAGTAACATTCCGGAAGGACGACGATTCCAACGGATTGTATGGGGGGCCATTCTACTCGAAGCAGTCATGGCAGGGAAGACATTGATGTATTGATTGCTTTTTCCCAGCTTCATCTCCATGAGTCATCGATTTGTGTTTGAGGTGGATCTTCATCGTTGGTTTACTGGATGGAGCTTCTACTATCTTATCTCCGCCGTCATCACCATCTTCTTCCTCTAGAATGGTTGCTTCTGTTGGTTTATGCGAAGAAGTCTTTGTCTTTGTGAGACGACACCCTGTATTTTCCGAAGCTGTGACTAAATTGAAGCTTAGGTGATTGGGAAGTTCAATACCAGCAAGAATAGAAGAACCATTGGACTTAAGTCCATGTTGGCTAGAAACGGCGACAACGACACTGAAGCAAATGATAATCAGGATGAAGAAAATCTTGGAAAACACCATGTTCTCTTCTTCTTCGTTTACAGAGCTCCTCCTACATGAAAAGCTTCAAGGGGAAAAAAGTAGACCAGGTAATTAAAACGTAAAATTAATCAAACTCCAATTCAAAGCAGATATTTTTGCAAAGGAAGAAGAAGAACAATAAGAAGAGATGTATCAGTTTACCGAGATTCAATTAGTTTCTTGATAAAGAAACTAATACCCGTACTTTAAATCGTGTACTTTAGGCCATTTCCCAACGGCGCATTCGCCTGACACCACTGGCGTGAGGGAGCTGGTTCTCAACGTCTTTGTAAATGCAAGTATGAACAGTGGTTCCTACTTACATTGCTTGATGGGTAATTTTAATTATTTTATTAAGTCGAAATAGCACTGGGGGTATTTAAGACTTTTTATCCTCTAACCGACGGAAATCTAACATCGGGTACCAAATTGTCTCATATTGAAAGTTCGGATACTAGATTGTCATGATTTAAAGTATGAGTACTAAATTGGCACTCGGCCTAAAGTATAGGGTACCTATAGGGAATTTTCCCTAATTAATAAAATGAACTAAAAATGACTTTAGTATTATATATCATGACAAAATATATTGAAAAAAAATATGTGAAAGCACTTTACTAAAAAGCATAACATTCAAAGTTCAAACTGAATTGGATTATATCAGATTGGATAGGCGTGGAACCATATTTATCCAATTATAATAAGTGGACTGGTAAACCATCACCACCTAAAAAAGAAGAGAGATCGACCACCAGTCCATGGGTTCTACTTGGATAAAAAAACAAAAACAAAAACAAAAACATATTGTTGAACCAGTTTTTTCTTTTCAGTAGCAAAAACTAAAATGCAAGTTGGTTTTGTTAAAAGAAGAAGAAGAAGAAGAAGAAGGATTTATGTTTTTAAAACTATCGAAATGAAGTGTTTTAAAACAAAAACAAATTTTGGAGCAGAGATATTGTATGGTTTATGAAAGATGATGAAAGATCATTAGATGAAAACATATTTTTTTTACAAACCAGACATTTAAGAATACATTGTCTGTTTCAGTTTTTGAAACGAAAAACACATAAAACCAAGAACAAGTTTTTTGTTTTAAGAACCCAATTGTTTTCAAAGCAAATGTATGCTTTTGATTTGTTTTTAAAACTCAACAAGGAAAACAATTCACATTGGAGAACACCCCAAAAGTGGTAAGTGGTAACCAATCAGGTAGGTATCCTCGTCCAGATAAACTGTTCGCTTTTCAGCAAGTTATTTACCTGGGTAAATTTTTCCTGGGAAACACTTACTCAGGTAAGTGCATTTACCCATGTTCTTTTATTTCTTATGTAAATAAGGCAATGACAATTTTAGCTATAAAAATCCATAATTAAAAGGGGTATTTTTGTCCCATTCAAGTGTTGACAACTTTCCCCCTAGGTGGGAAAGTTATTTATCCACCTAAGAGATGGGTAAGTGATACACAGGAAAATAAACTTTCCCTGATCCCCACATAAATCTGATAAAAGAACATGAGATTCTTGGTCAATGGGAACCAAAATCCCATTGACCAACTTCCCCCCTCTCAAAATCCGAAAAAAGAATGCCCCCCAAGAGTCAGGTCTCTTGTGGAACAATTCAACGACTGCTGCAATGATGGGAAGAGAGTAATTTCTTAAGATCCTCATTTTACGATATACATGTTTCATGAAAGTGACCACAGCTTTTCCATTGTATATATATAAAATAACTAATCACAAAGGGTACATATCGTACAGCTTTTTAAGAGAATCTATGATATTCCATACAATACAGCATTTGAATTTTGATGCCCACCGATTCAGTCCCAATTTGACATTCACTGACCAACATGCTCAAATGATCAAGATGGGTCATCCGTCCTCAGTCTTGACAGCAGTCCAACTCCTCTTAAATATGGACTCTTTCCTAGCATGTGAAACGAATCCAATAACATAACCAAGGAAGGCCCCTAGCACCAATATACTTCCTCCTTTGACAAACCATGACAATGTAGACTCTGTCACCTCTTTCCTGCTGCTGCCACCACCATTGAGAACTTGGCCTGTTGCCAAAATCTCAACTGTATCATGCACCTCCCCATCATGGTTTCCAACAAAAGCGAGTATAAGCTTTTCCCTTGTAGCAACAAGCCTAGTGTACCCAAACTGACCTGTTCGATACAAAGACCGATCAGGTTGGGGGTAGATTGGATCATTTGCATGGTCGGGTCTTGGCTCCCAGATGGGTTGCCAATCTTGTCCAGCCATTCCAATCACTGCATGCACCGGTAAACTCTCTGTATCTTTCCCATCTGTGGCTGCACAGGTGAAGTTTTTCATTGGACAGAACCTCTCGTACCTATGGACGTGACCCCATAAAGCAAGGGTCACCTTGTTCTCCACAAACAAAGGTTCCAAGTGTTCAAGCATTCTCATTCTTAATGGTGCATCCCTGACCTCATTACTTGTTGTGTACATGGGACGGTGACCTTGGACAATGACAAAAGGAGTCTTCTTCCGATCAACAGCCTCCAAGTCACTCTTGATGAAGTTGTATTGGTCACTCCCAGGAAGGAAATTGGTCTCTGTTGACATGTAAGTGAAATGTACAACCCCTGCATCAAATGAGTAGTAAAGGTTCCGTGTGGCAGGGGCTTGGGTCCCAGTTGAAAAAGAAGAGTCTCCAGGCATGTTGAATCTAAGGCTGTAAGGGACTCCACATTCACCACCCCCATCTGTCCCATAGATAGACTGAGCCCAGTCAGGTCTCCAGGGCTGTGAGGGCCAATTATATTCATGATTTCCAATGCACACATGATATGGGACCTGAGAGGCAACAGGTTCAATCTGAGTAAAGAATGTATCCCACAGCCATGAGTAACCTCTTGCATAGCTGATATCACCAATGTGGGAAATGAAGGTGGGCTTATCACCAATGGCTTTGATGTTGCGAAGGATCCAATTCATGGTTGATTTGCTTTCATCCTGTGTACGGTAAAAGGTTGAATATGGTGTTGAGGTACCCATATCTCCAAACAAAAAAGCAACTGTCTCGTCTGATTCCCAATCCCGTGAGATAAAACTATGAGTTACACTCCATCCTCCTTCATCACTTCCAACCTATACAATAACAACCAAAATGAGCTTGGGACTATGTTAGAGAATAAAGGATAATCCAACTTGAACCTTTAATCGCATAAAATTAGAAATTGGGAAAATAATCTAGATATCCGTACCTAAGTTTTCCAATTACTAAAATTATTATAAGTTATCCCATTTTTAAAGTTATTAATTACAACTCTGAATAAAGTAGAAAAAAATTCTGCACACTTTATTTTCAAATGTTTGTTACTTTGTTTAAGAGGATGCTCCATGATTATTGAAATACCTAGTTTATCTCCCTAGGTTTGGCAAACCCATTCTAGGTCCAACCCCCTAAGACAGTTTCAACTCTCAAAACTATCTAATGTTAAGATAATTCAACTCTCAAACTCTCTGTATGGGCAGGGGTAAGGCAGTGTACATCTGTCCCTCCCCAGACCCTGCATTGGCAGGGCCTCGTGCTATGGGCTGCCCCTTTTTTTGTATCTTTGAAGGGCTACACAACGGTAGCCCATCTCCCAACCCATAACCCTCCCAACCCAGGTGCAGGCAGGACTCGACCCCAAGTCTCCGCTACAACCAGCAGGGGACCTTACCAACCAGCTGAATGGCACCTTGCATGGGCTGCCCCTTTTTTACTGAGATATGTTAATGTAATTATATATTAATATAACATTATTGATGGAGTAAGGCTAAGTTTGGGAGTGCTTAAAAATAAGCGCTTATTCGAATAAACACTTATTTTGAGCTGGGACCACACCAATAAGCGCTTATTTGCATTTGGGAAATTAGCTCAAATAAGTGCTTATTCCTTATTCCTGGGAATAAGCACTTATTCGAGAAGCCCAAAATTTGGGCTTATTTTTAAGTGTTTATTTCCTTTCTAGCCTGTCTTGGCCCACCACGAAAATACCTATGCTACCCCTTTTTGAAATAAGTGCCTTTTCATCAAACATTCATGAGCACTTACTAGAATAAGCACTTATTTCTCTAATAAAAACTCCCCAAACTTCACCTAAAAGATGGAAATAAGCAGAATCCTAAAGCTTTTCCTCATCTCCTAGACCTAAAGAGAGTTGGAGAAAAAACAATTGCCTCTAAACAAGTTGCCAGAGGTAACTCTCTACCAGGAACTAGCTGAACTTTGGTAGACAGGTAATCTGTAATAACCAAATGGAGTTTCCAATAATCTGGCCCTAAGGGCTGCAATACTTGGTGGAGACATTTGATTTCTCCAAAGCATAAGAAAGATTGGTTATTTTCACTGTGTCATTCTGGCACCTTCTGAGCCTAGTTGACTCTGCCAAGTAATATAGCTAAATCTGCTGATGACTGTCTAGAAATTATTAGTTTCATGTAGTCAACAAAACAATAAGGGAAACTCAAAATTTATGAAGTTTAAAAGGTTGGTACCAACAAATAGACAGGAAACTACTTAGTAGGGCCGTAGACTGTTGCCAATCATGCAGCATTAAATTTGTTTATCGGTTATAAGTTGTTTCATTTGTCTTTCCTAAAAAGAACAAATTAAGAGGAAATTCAGGAAACAGAATTGAACATCACTGAAAATTTTGAGTAAGGTTTATTTGGACCATATTGAAAAACATGAGAACAAGAGTACTAGTAGTAGTAGTAGTAGTAGTAGTAGTAGGAAACTCATTGCTTCAACTGCAATATCAGCCATATTCTAACCGATGGTCTGTTGATGGAGATTAAGAAACTTGCTTGAATGCCTTTTCACCTTTCAATCTGATTCAAGGAGTACAAGGAAGGAAAAACTATTGATTCTACTGCAATATTAGTTGTACTTTAAAGTTAACTGATTAACTCTTGATTGAGATTTGAGAAACTTCCTTATCTCTTAATGATTAGAAAAATTGATAAACTTTCTCAATTACCTTTAAAGCCTTTCATCTRATTCAAATTTGCGTCTGAACTCTGAAGCCTGGCTTTATTTAGATTTCTGATGTTTCATGTTAGTGCTCTCAAACTGTTTCCCTGTACTTAATTATATCCAAGTTAAAAAAAAAAAAACCAGTGATATCTTGAACTGATTATTAAGCAGCCAAGACAATGAATTATGTAAACTAGCTAGTCTGAGACTGATGAGGGCGGATTTGACCCTCCAGTGACATTATGACACCTGGCACCTCGTGACAACTAGGTGCAGCCTCATGACAGCCAGGCAGCTCGCCACAGGCAACTCACCATCATGTAGCCTAGCACCTTATATACAGCTCGGCACTTACAGGCAGCTCGCCACCATGTAGCCTGGCACCTTACAGACAGCTCGGCACTTACAGGCAACTCGCCACCATGCAGCCTGGCACCTTACAGACAGCTCGCTTCCTAGTCAGACTAACCACCGCATGACAACCCCGAGGAGCTCACCACCATACCCCGCATTTTACGGGATTATGACTTGTAACGGCTATATTAGCTCACCTACTCCCCGATTCAGGCRGAGATGGGCAACCTTACCGGTTGGTGGCGTTAACCCCACCTATCACGAAAACAGGTCCCATCACAACGGGAATCCAGGAACTGCTCCACCAAACCGACGAGGACTCCAGTATATAAAGGCCTCACCCCCCCCCAGGGGCGAGGAGGAGAAGGAGATGAGAAGGTAATCTCTGCCCTCTAGCTCTCCCACTCTCTAATATCATCTTCAGCTCACAACTAAGTGCTGACTTAGCCATCGGAGTGACCTCGCCGGGTAAACACCCCGGAGTTCTCTGATTCAGTTCTTGCAGGTTCCTCAGTTCCCGTCGTCTACAAAGATGAGAAGATCATCTCCTGCAGGGAGCAGCCGGGTTGCGCTACACTAGGGAGCTCTACTTCAGCCTCTGAGTCATCGGCCACTTGGGAGCAGATGAAATGACGAGGTACTTAGCCAAAAAATGATACGTGACCAGAATCTGTTACATCATTTGGCGCCGTTTGTGGGAAACGCTACAAAAAGCTAAGTTCTCATCCTACAAAAAGCTAATTCCTCTTCTCCCAGAAACCTAAGTCCTCACTTTTTAGAAACTGGAGCTCTCACTTTATAGTTTCCATTTTTTATGAACTCAAAGACCATGTAGGGAGCTAACAGACTAAGCAGCTCTACCAACTTTACTTTCAATTCAGATAAAACCTCATCAATCCTCTTCGTGAGGTCCCCTCTACAAAGATGAGCTCTTCGTGGCTTCCGCGGGAGTTGGCGGCCAACGGGCTACATGGGCGCCCTTGCTGGTCGAGCCTCCCAAGGCTCCCGTGGGAGCTGGCGACCTAAAGTTAGTAGTGCTGCCCCCGAAGGTCGAGCTCCTAGTAGCTTCTTGTAGGAGTGGGTGACCGGAATTATGAGGCTGATGCAACGCAATCATAGCTCTAAGGCGCCCACCAGGCGGCCTGGCGCGGCTTGACGCGGCCTGG